AGAAAGCTCACCGGAAGCACTTTTTCATCAAAACAAGATGGCGGCGCCCAGCAAGCCAGCGGCCCGGTAGGACTTGTTCCACGGACCGGTACCGGTCCGCGGACCGGTGGTTGGGGACCCCTGGATTAGATGACCTACAAGGTCCCTTCCAACTCTGTTAATCTAATCTAATCAACCAGATTTCTGTCTCGGGGAAGGATGCGTCGTGGCACTTCTTTGAAGACAGTGCTTAATAAAGAGACCCTTCACTGAGTTCTTACTGATGCATTTTTACAGAGGCCCTAATACTTCTGTAAAACAACTCCTAGCAAAGCAAGAATGAGCAAGCTACAACTTTATGACCCTGTACAATTCCCACACTGACCTCTTTTCCATTTTTTAAACAGAACAAAAAAAACTGAAGGCCCTGCTTCTTGTCATTTAGGGATGAAAACGGTTAAAACTAATATAAACTTAAATCATATTTTCAGAAGCAGCACTACAACGATGTGCCATGTTCACCATCCTATTCTGTAGCCAATGCTGCTGTGGCCTCTTTATTCATTGCCACCCTTAGCCACAAGACTAGAGGTGGTAAAGGGTTGTACATTAGGGATGAACTCAGTTGTATTGAGCTCTATTAAACTTAGTAGGATTAAGATTCAGTTTGGTGTAATGGTTAAGGCATCAGGCTAGAAACCAGGAGACTTTAAATTCTAGTCTCGTTTTAGGCATTCAGCCAGCAGACATTAGGCCAATCATTCTCTCTCCCAGCACTAGGAAGAAGGCAATACAAAACCACTTCTTTTTTTTTTTTTAAAGACAAATTTTATTAGTTTTACAAACCAATACACAAACAAACAAGGCATAATAACATAAAAGATCTTTTCTGAAAAAAACAATAGAACATACAAAATAGTTCCAAATTGTAATATATATATTTACGTTATCTGTTCAACTTCGTATCTTATCCCAACTTCTCCTTTTCATTCTATTATCCAAATTATATTTCTTGCTAATTAAAATTTTATTGCCTTTCAAAAACAATACACAAACCAACAAAACATAGAACATAAAAACATAAAACATCTTTTCTGAAAGTTGCTTGATCCCGGGTTAAAACTCTTCGCACAGACACAAATTCAAAAATCATATTCACTTTATATACCATTCCATATCTTATTACCAATTTCAATTTTCTATATAGCTTCTTCCCTCTTTTATCTTTCTTAGTTTTATTTTATTTATCTCATCTCAGTTCAATTCATAATACTTATCATTCTTTGTCTGTTCTATTTCCAGCTATCCATTCATCTTTTCTCTTTAAATAAACTTCTCCTGGAGTGATGCCTTTGACTCTTTCCCCTAGCTTAATAATACTTAATATAACACTTAATTTATATTGGGATTCTGTTTAGT